GTTACTGGTATATGCATGACAAGGAAAATGAGTGCTTTTAAAGGGTCAGTTCACCAAAAAAATGTAAATTATGTCTGTAATTACTTACCCTCATGTTGTTCCAAACCCGTAAGAATTTCGTTCATCTTCGGAACACAATTTAAGATATTTTTGATTAAATCTAAGTGCTGGATCACTTCTCCATAGGCTTCTATGTAATTGAAACTTACCGACCCAGAAAGTTAGTAAAGACAATGTTTAAAATAGTCCTAGTGACTACAGTGGCTCAACCTCAAGTTTATCAAGTGACGAGAATACTTTTTGTGTTAGGTTAACTCTAACTAAGACTAAGCAGTGACCTTGAAATTCAGGAAATTGTATGTTGTTCTTTAATTGATTGATGATAGAGATACATTTTTTAAGTAATAGTTTTAAATACGTATGATAAAAGTATTTGTATTAAGACACTAACCTTGACATGCAGTTACGGACCTCTGCATGTGGTCCTTTGATTCGACTTTTCGAAGTGGACAGAGTTGTTTCCTTTTCTTTAATCTGCTCTTCCAACCTGTCCTTTCTTTCAAGGTTCATTATACAGAATTAGAAGACTGTCAGTGCCTTTGTTTTGGACTAAAATAAACAAATGAATAGCAGAAAAAACAAACACGCTCTGGAGGTCTGGATAATTACAGACACCAATTATGTAATTCATTTCTTTCACACTGCATTCTCCATCTCTTCTCTCCTTTGTCTCTCTCTCTCTCTCTCTCTCTCTCTCTCTCTCTCTCTCTCTCTCTCTCTCTCCTCTCTCTCTCTCACACACACACACACACACACAATTCACCCAGTCAAGAGAACAATAGACACACTCAGCACGGACTGCAAAGGTACCCATCTACTTTCTTGACCTCCATATTACAGCTAGAAAACATGATTGGGGGCAGATATGGTCAACACTTGGTTAGCAAGAGTCCAGATAAGGCATACATTCAATTCCAATAGCGATCACTGTCCTGGCAGGAGTTAACACTCCTACACTGAACTTCAAAGCCAAATACACTTCAAATGCACACTTATAAGCTCCCACTGGCTGACCGGGCAGCCCAATCTCACCTGAGCACGCCCCTCCAAACACTTCCCAGGAGTTTAAAAGAACTTGAATTTTTTAAAAATTACAAAAAAAAGTCAGTAGCACCTCATTGCAGGACAGGAGATCCAGGGGTGGAGTTGGATCCAGATCTAAAAGGTGGAGATGTAGGATTTAGGGATTGGGGGTTGGAGATGGGTAGGTTTAGGGCCAATCCCATTCTATCCCTTACCCCTTCACTTTCCCCTTCCCCTCCATTTTGCGCGTCCACATGAAGGGGTAGGGCTGTCCCAATTCTCTTTTGGTGGAGGGGGAGGGCTAGGGGGGAGGGCCAGATAGCCCTTCAAACGAAGATTTTTCGGGAGCACACTTCAAACGAAGGGTATGAGAAGTGTCACTGCTAACCCAGGCTACAGACGCAAAATGGCTGCCCAAGCGAAAAAGGAGACCCATAAATGTAAGTTTTTGTGGCTTATAAGTATTGTAACGACAAATAATGATTTGCTTCGTTAATTCAATATATTTACGGTCAGTTTCTTCACAAAACGTTTTGTAAAAAAAAAAAAAAAATTCGCTAAAATTACTGTAGTTTGCTAACGATAGTCCCGCAACATATTTTTCATGTCTGCCAACTGGTGAATGTAATTGGCTGAAGGGACTTGACTTTATTTTTACCTTACATCTGCTATGAACGTCGACGGCATCTTGGAAGTTGTGATAAACATCGGCGCATCTCCTGTGACGTAGGCGCTAGCGACGACTTCTAATGACGTTTAACGGAGCGTAGTGGTGTCCCATTTCTTAGGGGAATATTTTCACCCCTACGCATTGCCACTCTGTTTCAAGGGTCAAGGGGAAGGTGAAGGGGGTAGGGCTAAGGGAAGTGAAGGGGTAAGGTAGAATTGGGATTGGCCCTTAGATATATGTAAGGTGGGAGATCCAACTCCTCCCCCTGGATTTCGAGTTCTGCAGTAAGAACCATCTCGAAAAATCCCCCCAAAAATGAAATAAATAAAAGCCTCTAACTTTTCTAAGAAGGGAATGCAGAGAGTCGTTTCTCTGCAGAACACTCATTCAGGCTGTCCGTCAAAACCACTTGCATTGAGCCCTGAACCGCTGCAGGGAATTGGAGGACACAGCATCTTCAGTTCAGTGCACCGAGTAACGAGAATGACTCATTGGCAGCAGCGTGGCATGCCTGGATCTCTGCCTTTCAAACAGTCTTCACATATTCATCAACACCCTGAAAGTGGATATAGGCCGACAGCAACAAGACATTTGAGAAAGACAAAAGCAGATGTCTTCTATCTATCTCTCCTATCCATAGATAACCATACGGATACGGCGGAGACTCTATCGTCATCACCGCGGCCATCGGGTCACAGGAAAGCTGATGTAAGATGAGTGATCAGCACAAACACAAATAGTCTTATCTCGAAGAAATCTTGACAGATTTACAAACGGTTTGGTTTCTTACAAACGTTATCAACGTGGCTATAATTCTGGATGATATTTTATTTATACACTTATTACTCATAAGTATGCAGTGTCATAACTACATCTCTGGCGTTTAGAAAATCAGAAGAAAATTGAGCAAGTTATACTTATTTAAGAAGTACATGCACCATTAAAACACAGTGTTACGAGTGAGCAAGCTGCCTGTGACAAGATGGCCGCCAGGTGCGGACGTCGACCTCCACTGGTCAGCAGCGCGGACGAGACAACTAGCCTTTATTATGGATATCTATGCCCACATGCCAACAATGACAAACTTTTCTTGACTTGTTAGAAATAAAATCATTTAAGTCAAAATGCACCATGAAACTGGAGGAATATAATTTCATTTCTATATATCAGTTTGAAAAACAAAACAAAAAAGCTGGAACTTTTCTTTAGAAAGTACCAAAGTTCACTTCTTATTTATCTTCATATTGTCAATGCCGTTTATACACCGTGTTGTTTGGAGCAGACTGAGAATATTACAATTCTTTCAGAATGTGTGGATTTACAGTATAATGAACATGGTGGCATAAAGCAGCCCTAAACATAATGTATTAGGATCTGCAGTGCAACACTGCAGTGTGTAAAATATAGGAACAGCTGCAGGAGCCGCACAAATGAATGGCTCTGACAGAGAAAAAGCAGAGAGCGTGAATCTTATTCCTTCACTTTATTGATGTCTCACACTTTCCACTGGACCAGGAACAGAACATCAACACACAAACAGCTAAATAAAAGAAGTTGCACAGAATAAAATGACAGCAAATCAAACAGATCAGGTCAAAAAAACCACAGTCTCTCGAAACGGGTCATTTAAAGTGCTTGAATTCAGTCCTCTGTTGGTAAACATCTTTTCTGTCCAGACCAACAGGTTGGCAGATGTTGTTTTCATGAAGCTAATGGAGCAATGGTAGTGTTCTGACAATCCTGCATACTAACAATGGTGAAAAACATGACAAGAGATGAACTATATGGAAGGAAAAATGGAAGGGTTTTTCTTTTATAAAGAATTCATGGCAAGCGTTTATTGTTTCAGACATTTTCATGCTTTCAAAGAATCATTCAGGTGAGAAGAATCCAGAAGATGCCATACACACATGGGCAGCAAGTCATAAATGTATTTTACACAACAGTAAGAGGTCTTTGTATGAGTGCATTTATTTTGGAAATCTTAAACTTAGTTAACTTTCTTGATTGTTTTTTTTTCCTCGCTGCAGAACCTCATCTTTGAGTTGCAGATACTTGTGAAACAGTGTTTTTACAGCATGAGAAGAGATGTAGAAAGCCTCACATTTAAAACAAGAAATGGCTGGATGCATGGTTTACAATAATCTTTTAGAATAATAATCTCAGTTTAAAGGCATAGTTAAAAAATATTGTCACACTTTTTCACTCAAAACCTGACTTTCTTTTGTGGAACACAAAGATGTTTTAAAATGTTAACTGTTTTTGTCAGTTCTGTGAAATTCAATGCTCCAAGACACATTGTTGAACTTTCTGATAACTTTATCAATTCAATCTTGGATCCCATTGATTTTCAATGTATGGACTTGGACATTTAGCAAACTATTTTCTTTTATGTTCCACAGAAGAAAGTAATTCATTCTTTGGAACAAAATGAAGGTGAACAATTTATGACAACATTTTTGATTGAACTGCCCCTTTAATTATGGGTTATAACAGTTTTGCCTTGTTAACAGTCAAATGAAAGAAAATATGTTCTGGGCACCAAACAGACTCATCAAATGGAATTAATGTTCCTCTATAACTTTGCAATAGCAAGACTACAGTCCTTCTGCACACGTATACGACAACGAGAGACAGATGTAGAGAAAGAAATACAAACAAAGTGTCTCCAGAGTATTACAAAACAAGCCCTTCATTGATTTTCTGTTTAGTATAACCACAGAGTTGGGTGAGAGAGAGAAACACACACACAAATATCCTTCAATTGATTTTCTTTAGTTGGTTTTAGACATGGCTGCCCATCACTGCTTAGGGTGTATCTAGTGTGCGGCCCATATAAGAGTGTTGTAATACCCAAAGCCCCTCGTATTCTGGAAAAATGGCAGTAAAATCAATTTCGTTTTGGATTAAACATCCACCATAAAAATTTAGGGTACAGTATCTGTACATACTAATATGTCTACACTCTGAAATATTGTACATATGAAGAGTTCAGATGCAAAAGCCTCTAAGTGCCATTTGAAATTTTCTTCTAGAATGATCATTTTTATCAAGCTTGTATATTTAAGTTCAGTGATTTCACTTAAATGGCAATGATAATTACCTATTAATTGTTATTTAAGTGAAATTACTGAACTTAAATGTACAAGTTTGATAAAAATCATCATTAAAGAAGAAAATTTCAAATGGCATTTAGAGGCTTTTGCATCTGAACTCTTCATATAATCATATGATCATAGTACTGTTAAGTCCATGTGCTTCCATGCAGTGGATATTGTATATTTATGTATTAAAGTGTGTATTGTGTATCAAAGCATGTCAAAAGCAAATTACTGACAACCTCAACCTTCTGGAGACATACTTATGAAAAAACACCATCTCAAGTACAGTAAACCTTTCTTTAAGAAAAAAAACATCCTGGATGTCCTTAAAAAAAAACACTTTGACGGTCAAAAGGAACATCAAAGCAACTTACGGCACTAGACAAACGGTCCAATTTATCTCAGTCTTCAACATTTTGCCATAAATGGAATTTTATTTTATTTTTATTTTTTTTTATCATTGCTTGCAAAGCCAACAATAAGTTAGTGCAAAATCAAAATGAAAATCTTGTCCAAAAATCAAGAACTCGCTCAAGTCTCTGCAAGAGTATTTCTGTGCCAAAGTCAAGGCAAATATATTAATCCTGCAGAATTGGAGCAGACTGAACAGCTTAATAAAGCCATTTTAACTGTAAACATCTTTATAATGTATAAATAATTAAAAAGCATTAGAACAATTTTGTATGCAACTAATGCAGGGTGAAAAGGCAAGTTTATGCTTTAAGCATGCCATAATCCATAATCAAGAAAAATAACCTTATTAATACAGGAGGCATGAACCTAATTAAAATGAAAAACTGCTGATCACGACTGAAGCCAAGGTGGAAATAAAGGAAGCACTGACAGTGGCATGAAATGAGGCATTAAATAATATAAATACAGATCAAATCACAGCAGACTGACAGGTTTTCTCTGTGGAAACTGAAGATGAGATGTGGGTCATGAGACACTGACTTCCGTCTCTATGAGGTTGCATAGACAATAATATGTGTGTTTTCTCAGTTAAGCTTCGGGAGATGCAAATGTCAGATTCACCCACTAAATGAGTGGGCGTCCAGAGGGCATGCCGCATGGGAAAATATTCAGACACCGAGGGCCTTGAAAAAGCTCTATGGCACTTTCTTTGACGTTTGTTGAGTAACGGTAAATAAATGAGCTCTCTAGTGCTTTCCATTGAAAGACAGGGCAAAATTTGAGAAAACAAGCAGTCTAAATTTCTATCAGTCATCCTTTTCTCCAGTTTGTCAATCCATGAGAAGCTCAACTGTATTAACATGCTTATGTAGGGATGATGTAATTGTGAGCGGTAAAGGTTTCTCAGAGGTTATGGAATGATGATCAATGACTTTTAGTCTGAATCAAAAGAGTGGTTTTGTGCGACAGAAGCGCTGATTGTGACACTACTTTTTTGTTGCATAGTTAGATGCTTCTTTGTTTAGCTTAAAAGGTTGTCTAGCCACTAACAACACCATCTAGTGCAAGCCGCATGTGTGATCATGCGTTCAGGGAGGTAGCCTTATCAGTGTTTATGGCTGCAGCTGACACTCAGTGGATCTTTGGCTTTTCAAGTCTTGATACCGAGTGGTACCGAAGCGTCGTGTTCGGGGTCAGGCTCTCTCCTGACCACTGCTGGCCAAGGCTGGGATAGCCGGCCACGAGTCACGGTGACAATCCCTGCACTGTAGCATGGCAAACCTCTGGAAGGAGGAGGCGGAAGAAGCTGATGGGGCTTGTGGTTCATTGAGGGTCCTGGTTTTGGGTTTGACCCACTATTGCCCCCTATAGGCAGAGCAGGGAGAGTTACCCGTTTGTGTAGACGTGGAGGCTGCAGGACACGCGGGCTGAAGGACAGGTTCAGGAGTTTATTTTGATGGCTTTCTGGGGTCGGTCTTACGATCTGTTCTCCAGCCCACTGT